ATTAATAAATAACTTTTTGTACAATTTGCTGTCAGAGAAACATATGAGCTTTTCTCATGGAAACTCTACAGCTTCTCGATTTAGTTACATGGGTCTCAACAAGGGCTCATGTTTAAGCCCCCTTTTGTATAATTTCTACGTCAGAGAAATTGACAATTGTCTAAGGGACAACTGCACGTTGAGACAACTTGCAGATGACGGAGTAGTGTCTATGACAGGGCTCAGAGAGGCCGACCTGCAAGGACCCTTACAGGATACCTTAGATAATTTGTCTACTTGGGCTATCGAGCTAGGTATCGAATTCTCCACGGAGAAAACTGAGTTGGTCGTTTTTTCTAGGAGGCATAGCCCAGCACAACCAAAGCTTCAACTTTTTGGTAAACCGATCACTCATTCTATGTCCTTCAAATATCTTGGGGTCTGGTTCGATTCAAAATGCACCTGGAGATCTCGCATTGAGTATCTGAGACGAAAATGCCAACAAAGGATCAATTTTCTCCGAACAATTACCGGAACGTGGTGGGGAGCTCATCCGCAAGATCTTCTAACGTTGTACCGGACAACGATCTTATCGGTTTTAGAATACGGTAGTTTTTGTTTCCAGTCGGCGGCTAAAACTCACATCATCAAACTGGAACGTATCCAGTATCATTGTCTTCGTATCGCGTTAGGATGCATGCACTCGACTCATACGATGAGTCTAGAAGTGTTGGCGGGCATGTTACCACTTTAGGATCGGTTTTCGGAATTGTCCCTCAGGCTCCTCACCCGTTGCGAAATTATGAACCCACTGGTAATCGAAAACTTTGAAAAGCTTCTTGAGCTGAACCCTCAAACTCGTTTTATGTCATTGTCCTACGTGTACATAACACTGGATGTCAGCCCTTCACAGCATAATCCTCATCGTGTATGCTTCTCCGACTTCGGCAATTCAGTTAGTTTTGATTTATCTATGACGCGGAAGATTCGTGGGATCCCAGAACATCATCGTTCCATGATTGTTCCGTCAATTTATGCTGCAAAGTTTGGCCAATTTGATTCCGCAAGATCGTTCTTCACAGATGGATCACTAATAGAGTCGTCCGCTGGTTTTGGTATTTTTAACGAATTTCATAGCGCCTCTCGAATGCTTCAAGCTCCTTGTTCCGTATATGTTACTGAGCTGGCGGCAATACATTATACGCTAGAAACGGTCGCCTCACTTGCACCAGATCATTATTTTATTTTTACGGATAGTCTCAGTTCTGTCGAGGCTATTCGCTCCATGAGGCCGGTAAAGCACTCCTCGTATTTTCTCATGAAAATACGAGAGCTTTTAAGTGCTTTATCTTTAAGATCTTTTGTCATCACCTTTGCATGGGTCCCATCTCATTGCTCGATTCCGGGCAATGAGATGGCGGACTCACTTGCTAAGGTGGGCGCTATGCAAGGCGATATTTACGATCGACAAATCGCCTACGACGAATTTTTCTTCATTTATCGTCAACAGTCCCTCGCCAGTCCCTGGCAAAATAAATGGAGTGAAGGGAGTTTGGGACGATGGTTATATTCAATCATCCCTAAGGTGTCGAAGTGTCCTTGGTTCAAGGGGTTGGATGTGGGTCGAGACTTCATTCGTCTGATGTCTCGCCTCATGTCCAATCACTATTCGTTAAACGCTCACTTGTTTCGTGTTGGGCTGGGAGACAGCAATCTATGTGAATGTGGACAAGGTTACCAGGACGCAGATCACATTATTTGTTCTTGTACTGAGCATCGCGGAGTCAGATCTGAACTGTACGATTCCCTTCGGGCTCGAGGTAGACAACCTAATGTTCCAGTTCAAGATATTTTGGCTAGACGCGATCTGGAGTTTATGAAACTAATATATGTTTTCTTTAAGAATATTAACCTTAGATTGTAAGTTTGACTAACCTTGTGTTTAGTTTTTGTTTTGTTCGTGTGGGTTTTTTTAATGTTTGTTTCTGTAATAATTGTATAACTACACTGTGGATACCAAATTGAATAGGAACAAGTTCATGTTTTAGGAATAATGAAATATTTGTATCGTAAATCATAACTCAAACCTCCTCCTCCCTCTCCCCATGCATAAAACTGTAAATCTCTACTAACATCGAGATGACCGCGAGTAATCGGTTCAGTTCCTTTAAATCTAGACTTAAGACATCAATTATGTATAACGCAAATGATAACTTGGCTCTGTAAAGTTTATTCAATTGAGCCTGTACAAATAAATTAATTAACAAAAAAAAATCCAACATGATGGGAATATGGGAATACTTGAGATGGACATTCGGAATAGATGATGTAACGATATATACAAGCTGGTGATATGCTTCTTCAGAAATACAGATTGGACACCATCGGGTCCTCCCTTAGCTCAGTCGGTAAAGGCACAGCTACAAAGCAAGAACATGCTGAAGGTGGCTGGGTTCGATTCCCGGTCCGGTCTAGGAATTTTTCGGGTTGGAACATTTCTCGACTCCCCTGGGCATAGAGTATGATTGTACTTTGCCACACAATTATACTAATGCAAAAAAGGTATGGACATCGAAAGCTCTCAATTAATAACTGTGGAAGTGCATCTAGAACACTAAGTTGAGAGCACGCGATAAGCTAATATGCCATACGCAATAAGCTTGAAATGCGAGGAAAAAGGAGGCCATCGGGTCCTCGGTTGAAATACGACTTGAGTTGTGATGCAGCAGTGAAAATCATCTCGACGTTGACATCAATTGTACCCAGTGTTTGCATGGAAGTGGAACATTCCTAGGTAACGAGTTCGCCGGCTAATCCCTCGTCAGGGAAAACGCTGGAAAACTTGTCTGCAAACAAGTGGCATATCCCCTGAAAGGTAGAAGCGATTTCACCGTTCAACCAACAATCAATACGAAACTAACGATTTCAAATTGGCTCACTACTTGACTAGCCTATTGGCCCCAAGCAAATCGACTAACGTACCCCATTCTAGTATAAATTCCAGTACTACACTATGTTTGTTTTGATTAGCTATGAAAGTTTGACAGATAAAATGAGGGGTTAGTGAATTTTCCTATGTTTCGAGGGGTGAATCGATTAGCTTGGGACCGAAGATAGTACTAGAGCTGAGCAAAAAAGTTAAGCTCGTTTCTTCGGGACCTTCTGGTCTTAGAGTTACCTATATGGTTCAACTCCATTGAAGATTGTAGACTGGACTATTTCTGTTGCTTATTTATGTAGTTCCAGAAGGACTTCGGGTGCGACTTGAGTCTGAATCTCGCGTTGATAACGCGAATAGCATCGACGGCTAGCTCGCTTAAACTCATAATTGAGCCTAACGTAGTGGTGTTTCAGCGAAAATGTGCGATGCTTGGTGAATTTTCTTAATGCGGCTCTCTTGGTCGACTTCGAGAGGGCTAACCCGATCAGGTGCAATGTACACCGCGTACAGTGTGCGATTACTCAGTTCTACGGCCACCCAAGCTTGTTCCACACAGTTCTACAAGAAATTTTCAATAGCTCTCGCCTTCAACCCGGAATGATCTGCCACACCACCTCCAGTAGATTTCCGACTGTTGTTCGGATTTCGGTCGCAGCGGAAATCCTCATACTGGGATCCGAACACCTGACTGGAAAGCGTCCGAGAATCAAGCCAAGTCTCGGCAAGAACGATGACATCGTAGCACCGGTCCGATACAGCTAGGTGATGGTCGTGAACGTCAGAATTAATTTTCGCCTACGTTTTGGTAGTACAAAATGACATCATGTTTTCTACGTTTGGTGTATGGCAACAGGTAAGGCGTTTTCCCTGGAAGTCACGGAAACATCAGGCAGCGAATGAACATTAACAAGCCCAAGCGGATACTCGCCATAGTGAGTGGGTTGGAAGTCCCCCTCTTCATATCCAACCACAGGCCCGGAACGACTATGAAGATCAGAGAAGGCAGACGGTAGGACTGGGTCAGAGGGATTGGCGGCTTCCACACTGCAAAAACATAATTTTAATTAATCACCGCAAAGGGGATGCACTTCAATCGTGTTGAAAATATGGTATAATTTTACTTGCCAAATATTTGTTTATTTTGGCGCCATGAAAATTACATTAGATTGTCGACATGATTGAAGTGCATCCTTTTGGATGTAATATTAAAATTTATTTCTTGCTGTGCACAATGCATTCTACGGCATGTTCCGGGTTCCAGCAAGCTGGAAGACCCCCGATCAACGATTAATTGATTGAAACATTCTATTGAGAAGGATATGGTTGATGTCTGGCGGTCCTGACTGTCACCCATCATCACCCTACCGTTGATATGGCACTGATTACAATTCAATTTGAAACATTTCAATTACCAGTCCCGTAGTATTGAGTAAAATTTGAAATTACATCATCACATCAGTTTTGTTTTACTTATGAGGAGAATATATTTTATATTTCAATTGGTGAAGCGTTACTGATTGCACCTGTTAGTCCTAGTTGATGCAAAATAGCTCTTGAACTTATAATATATTTCTATGAGATCAACCAGTCTCAAAGTCGTTAAACAATATGAATAAAATATGAATTCCTACTTATTCAGTGTCACAGAGCAACGAGTTGCACCTGTGAAGAATTGTAAAAAATATACCTGGATCTTTTCCCACCTGATACGTTGATAAGATGATCTGATTTATGTCTTCCGTTAGTAATAACCAAATGGGACTATACCTACTAAAAATCTATACTGTTCCACTTAAGACATGTACTAATACCGGAAATACATTCACCGGCCGTAGCGTTGTTGAATATGTATTGAATGTAAAGCAGTTGATCGTCAAACCGCATTCACCGGTATTGATCGCAGCTGGGTAGGCTGTCGCAAATTGGTCAATAATCGCCGCGCATATATTAAACCAGATCAACAGAAGACTGTTGACTTAGCATTAAATTAGACTATAATCATGGTCATGTTTTACGCAGATTAATTCTAGCTTGCCGGTACCGTCAATATTTACTTAGTAGCACTGATTTCCCGTTTCAGATTGATCTCAATTTTGCTGATACTCTCTTGTGGGAGTGGTGGGTCGAATGCACAGATCACCCGGAGATTCCCGGACGATTTCCGCTTCGGAGTGGGATCTTCCTCCTACCAGATCGAGGGAGGTTGGAACGAAGGAGGCAAGGGGGAATCGATTTGGGATCGGATGACGCATCGGTTTCCGGAAAAGCTAGAGGATGGCAGCAATGGAGATGTCAGTGCGGATAGCTATCATCAGGTGAGTTCAATTACAGGTGCTCTCAGTTAAAGTTTTTATCGCGTTGACTTACCCTGATCTAACAGCGCTTGTTTCTCGCTTAGGTAAATTATATGATGATTAATTAGTTTGTTTTGCGTGTGGCGGTGGTATTTTTCAGTGGCGACGTGACGTTGAGATGGTACGCGAACTCGGGGTCGGGGTTTACCGGTTCTCATTGTCCTGGCCTCGGATTCTTCCGAGTGGGTTTGTGAACAGTGTCAGCAAAAACGGAATCCGGTACTACGGCCGACTGATCGATGAGCTGCAAAAGTACAACATCACTCCGATGGTGACGTTGTATCATTGGGATTTGCCTCAGTCACTGCAGGAGCTGGGCGGATGGACCAATCCTGAGCTGATTGGATATTTCAATGACTTTGCACGGGTTGCGTTTGAGCAGTTTGGAGATCGGGTGAAAATTTGGACTACGTTCAATGAACCGTGGCACGTTTGCGAGCAAGGCTATGGAATTGATTTTATGGCTCCGGCCATGGATTTCCCCGGTATTCCGTCGTATCTTTGCGGACATAATTTGCTGAAGGCACATGCGGAAGTCGTTCATATGTACAGGAGACGGTTCCAGCCGAAGCAACATGGAACAATCGGAATAACTACGGACATTTCCTGGCCCGAGCCCATGAGCAATACCGATAGCGATAAGGAAGCTTCCGAGCAAGCTTTGCAGTTTTATGTGAGTTCTGACACTTGATTGTAAGTTTTTTTTTATGTATAACATTTGTGCGTTTTCTCCTATAAATTCAGATTGGCTGGTTTGCCCATCCCATTTTCTCCGAAAGTGGTAATTATCCACAGATTATGATTGATCGCGTGGCAGCGCTCAGTAAACAGCAGGGATACTCAAAGTCACGGCTGCCGGCCTTCACGCGAGAAGAAGTGGATATGATCAGAGGAACTGCAGATTTCTTCGGCATCAATTCGTACACGTCGGTCCTGGTGAGGAAGAACGATAGAAACAACACTGCCAAATTCCCGGTACCGTCGTTCAACCACGATATGGGAGTGGTGGAGTCCAGCGACCCCAGCTGGCCGACTAGTGGCTCGGTGTGGTTACATGTGAGTATACTTATCTTCAAATTGTTGCGATTGATGCTTTTAATCGAGTCATTGGAAGTACGTTGTGACCTTCAGCAAAATTATTCCAAATGAATGGCAATGACTATGTACAACCCCTTTAATTGCATTAAGAACTTGTTCGCTCAATCGTACCCCCAATGCATATGTAATCATTAGCAATGTATCAAAATGCTTCAGCCATTTACGGCCAATATTATTTATGATCTTAACCAACCAACGCAGTCAATATAATCCGTTCATGACATTGTCGTCCGTGTTTAGCTGCCAACTGTAATCGCTTTTTTTTCGCACGTTGCATGGCCAGAACGACCATAATTATCATATATACGATCGATTCTTGCTTTCCGCCAGGTGGTACCATCAGGAATGAACAAGCTGCTTAACTGGATCCGCCGCGAGTACAACAATCCACCGATCTACGTCACCGAGAATGGCGTTAGCGATCGGGGCGGCACCCACGATGTCAAGCGAATCGACTACTTCAACTCGTACCTGGAGGCCGTGCTGGACGCCATCGAGGACGGGTGCAATGTGCAGATGTATATCGCCTGGAGCCTGATGGATAGCTTCGAGTGGAAGGCCGGTTACACGTAAGATGACTTTGTTGAATTTTCTAAAACGCTGCTTTCTGAATTGATTGGATTTTTATCGTTTTAGTGAGAAATTCGGTTTGTACCACGTGGATTTCAAGAATCCAAACCGGACCAGAACTCCGAAGGCGTCCGCCAAGGTATATGCCAACATTGTACAAACGCACCGGATCGATTGGAGCTATCGTCCAAAGCCGGAGGTTATGATCAAAGCGCCTTCTCCGTATCGCTCAAACAGTAGTATTAGAGTTCCTGTGATATACTTGACCCTGGCGATGTTGGGAGTTGTGTTGAAGGTGGTTTACAGCAGTTAGAAGATCTTGTGGTTTTGATATGTGTGAATCTCGACTGTACCTCTGAATGTATTTTATAATTTATTTTTTTTTGTACATATGTGTAATTTTAAATCGAAAATAAACAAACGAATTTATATGGATATGATGAGTACTGTTTTTTAAATTTTTTAACTACTACCTTTTGCCACGCTTTTTTCCATACCTTATACGCGTAATATCATAAATTCTGGGACTATCCCTCTCAAGAGTGGACGTCATATTTGAATCGCATCAAAGTAGTTGCCCAGGACACAATTCTACCGAGTTGCATGATGTCCTTTTTGAGGTTCCGCTGCCCCTGGGTCTACTATTGCTTCGATGTCCTGTCCCAATTAAATTCCAGCAATTCCAATGACAGATTCTAACCTCCCTCTTCTTGCTTGCAGATTTCACCACCACTTTAGTTCTATGATTACTGTTGAAATCGGCGTATGAAGACATTAAACTTTAGAGTGGGTCATCGTTATATGGAAAAAACGCAAACTTTATCTCACCAATCGAGAACAACCCTTTTTTGGTTTCATTTGGAGTCCCAAACAACTGTGCAAAATTTGGGGACGACTGGTTGTAGCTCGGCTTTCCGCATTGCGTTTGAAATTTGTATGGAAATTAGTATGGGAAAACCGATTTTTTTGTATTTTTATCCCTAGAGACCACAACTGTGTGAACTGTGCAACTAAGTATGTATAAATATAGTTCAGGAAGTGCTTAATAATTTTGTGGAAGGAAGTACGGTGCTAGAATATATCTAAAAACAGTTATAGCTATTCAATTATTTGCGGTTTGAATTAAACACCAAAAATCCCTTTTTCTGCAAACACTGCCGATGTACCAATGGAAGTCAGGGAGGTTTTATAGGGCTTACTGTTTGCAGTTTGTAAAACAAAAATTGTTGCAGTGTAAATATTTAATATCCACTTGTCGGTTCATTTGTTAGAGAGGAGATGTTGTTTGAATTATTAGCAGCTGGAAAATTTTAAATTTCTATACAAAGCTTTTGTTTGAAATATTAAACTGCCATTCGGGCCATCCGCATATAGAAAATACAGAAGTAGTCGTACGTTAAGATCCAAAAACAAGAGAAAACGAAAACTGTCTTCACCAGTTTCGTCTCAGGTACAGTCGGATTTCGCTTGTTGGGCTAACTTTAAGTGGGCTACGTTTCAGTTGGGCTCTCAAGCCAAATATCACTTCCAACAGTGCTGATTACTTTTCGAAATTTCGACCGGCTTCATGCAAAAACCGGCAAACGAGTTTAGTAATGATACAGATTCTTTCAATGCGATACAACGAGTTGCTTCCTTGATCGTTGTCAACGATATGGCTGAATGAGGGGTGAAGCTAATTTCTGTCGTGTTAAGAAATCCACCCGAGACCTAGTTACACTAGCGTGCACAGGAATCTTGTTAAGGAGGGCATTTCTTTTATGGCGCATTTAATCTGGGGATGGGGAGTACTCTAAAGTGCGTGGGAGATGGTGCTGTCCACCCACTACTGTTTCTCTACTGTTTAATTTAGCTAATTTTATTTATTTTTTGCTCCGGTGGTGGTTCATCTTCTTCAATGCAAACTGCTTTCAGACAGCCAATGGAATTTGGCAATTTAATCCCATCCGTCGTGAACCGTCCCAAAGTACCGCCAGTCGGGGTAACAGAAAATGATTCCGATCATTCAATATGTTTTAAAGATGATATAAAGGACAAACCCGAGTTTATTGCAACGCACATAAACAGCTGTAACTTTTTAACTACGGTAAAAAATGACTCGAAATTTTCAGAGAAGATTCTTAGACGATTGTTTTTTAGTAAGACCAAGGTTCAATGGCAAACTTATACCCACTTTTCAAGGGTGTTTCAAGGGAATCCAAAAGCTGTCTTTAAACTTTGTACAGCTGCGAAAAAGTTCATCCTCAGAATGCCTTGAGGTTCTTTTCGAAAGTTTTAGAACTCTGTGAGCTCTTTTGAAATTCTTCTCAGAAGTCCTCTGGAATAATTTTTAGGTCTCTTCTTGACTTTTACTCAGAACACCTTGCAACTGAAATTCCCGTAGAGTTTCAGAAGAATTTCCTCTAAAAAATTATTCCTGGCTAGAGCTAGAAGTTATCAGTACTCCCTTGAAATTTTCCTAAAAATCCCTTTGGAATTTCACCCAAAATTTAATTTTCTATGTATTCTTTTCGGAATCATCTTAGAACTATCTGCAGGATTCACTAGAAATTATACGCAGAATTTTCTTGGAATACTCCCCAGAAATGTTTTGGAACTGTCCTCAGGATTCAGTATCCTTGAGGTAGGTTCTTCTCGGATTTTTTTAGAACCCTCCTAAGAGCTCTTTTCAAATTCTTCTCAGAAATCCACTGGAATTATATTTAGAAATCTTCATGATTTTTTCTCAGAACACATTGGAACTGAATGAGCTAAAAATTATCCTCGGAATTTGCTTGAAATTTTGCTTAAAATCCCTTTGGAATTTCACTCAAAATTTGATTTTCTCGGTATTCTTTTCGAAATAATCTTGGAACTATCTGCAAGACACACTAAAAATTATCCGCAGAATTTTCTTTGAATTCTCCTCAGAAATATTTTGGAACTGTCATAAGAATTCAATCTCCTTGAGGTTCTTCTCGGAATATTTTTGAACTTTTTTTTTTCAGAACACCTTGGAACTGAAATTCCCCTAAAGTTTCAGAAAAATTTCCTCGGTATTCTCCAGAAATTCTTCCCAAAATGCGCTTGAAGTTATCCTCGGAATTCCCTTGAAATTTTTCTCAACATCCCTTTGGAATTTTATTCAAAATTTGATTCTCTCGGTATTCTTATCTTGGAACTATCTGCAGGATTCACTAGAAATTATTCGCAGATTTTTCATGGACTCATTCCCAGAATTTTTTTCTTTTAGAACTGTCGTCAGAATTCAATACCTTTTGAGGTTCTTCTCGGAAGTAAAGTTTAAGTTGTCCGTCCCTTCACCAAAACGTTGTAGTTTTTCTACCAGAAATGTTCAATAAAGCTTACCCCGCCATTCACCAGAACTGTGCAATTTTTTACATCAGGAATTTTTAATTCAGTTTGCCTCCCATGCAGCAGATTGGTGCAAATCTTACACCAGAAATTTTCAACACAAACTTGCCCCCATAAAATTTTACACCAGAAAATTACAATTGATCAGAACGATGCAAATTTGTCCCCGTAATGTTCAATAAAAATTGCTCCTATCATTAGAATGTTGCAGGTTTTCCTCCAAATAAAGCTTGCCCCTATTTTCAGACTTTTTATCATAAATTGTCAGTAAAACAGCTTCCCTCCAATCATCAGAATTGTGCAAATTTTACACCAGAAATTATTATTAAAGTTTCTTTGTCTATTCAGCAGAAGGATGCAAATTTAAGGAAAAAAAATTCCAAAAAGCTTGCCCTTCTGTTCACTACAACGGTGCAGATTGCCCACCAGAAATTTTCAATATGGCTTTATTTTAAATAAAGCTTGTCCCATCATTTATCAGACCAGTGCAAGTTTCCACCAGAAATATTCCGTTCATTTCATTTATCAGAGCAATGCAAATTTTGCACCAAAAATTTTCAATAAAGCATGCTCCTCCATTCACCAGAACGGTGCACCAAAAATTGTCAGTGAAGTTTGTTTCACCATGCACCTTTGTGGTGCCATTTTCAAGCTTTGTCTCTTCATGTACCAGAATGGTGCAAATTTTCCACCATAAATTTTCAATGAAGCTTGCATTCATCAGAAGGATGCAAATTATGCACCAGAAAAATTAATAAACCTTGCTTCTACATTCACCACAGTGTTGTGAACTTTCCACCCTCTTCCCTCCATGCCCCCCTTCGATGATATTTTTGCACCGGAAATATTCAATAAAAAGCTTTTTCTTCGATTTACTTCCACGAAGGTGAATTTTTTTAACCTTAAATTTACCCTCTTTTTTTAACCCTCCATGAACCACCCTGAAAAAAAAATTACACCAGAAGTTTTTTGTATGCACCATTGAGGTGCAATTTTTTGACCCAATTGAAGTTTGTCAATTTTCAGGCACCATCTCAAAGAAATTGACGCAATAAAAGGATTTCAGTGGTCTTATTTTATGAAATGAAGTTATTTTACCTTCAATCACAGTTATAAAGAAAACAAGTTATTTTATATTATAATTTTGTAAATGTGAATATAAAAATCTTATTTATAAAAAGTGGGGCAATTGCCCCACCTTGCCCCACCCTTTGCACGCTAGTGCCTAGTTCAACAGCAATATTTGCTTCAAGGGATAGAACAACATCGAAAAGAGTACCATCGTAGAATAAAATAAAATGAAATCGATTATTTTTTTGGAAATAATCGATTCACGGATTTAATCAATCATTTTGAATCAATCTTTTTGAATCGATCTTTTCAATCAATTAATTTTTCAAAAAGGCACAAAAATGTTTCAAATATAACGGATTATAGGAAAGTTGGTGCAAATGAAGCCTAGTTCAGTCTAGAGTTGATATTACGTTACATAAACTATCTTGTTATGGCGTTTCACCTATAATAGTCATTTAGTGTGATGATTGATATCATTTAGAAATAAATTGTGTAGAACGTACGCAGTGAATGTTTTGAGTGTAACATACATCACTGCTGGTCATTAAAATAGGTGTAGCCAAAATAAATGCGAAATTTTAGGTTATGCTCATTCAACTTCATTTTATTCGACTTTAAAGTTAAGCATTTGATAGTGTAATAAAAAACTAATTAATTGCGCGAGAAAACTCAAAGCCAAACATTGAATAACTCACTCAATAGAATCATGTATAAAATATGTCTGGTCAGTGAAATTTGTGTCTTGTATAAAACTATAGTATAGAAAGCATAAAAATAATCGTATAAGTTTTATTAGACTAATGACGCTTAGTAGCCACTGTGCCCTCCATTGTTAAGTAGAACCTTGTTCAATCTTCTTGGTATTGACTCAACCGAGCACCGCAAAGTTTCCTTTGGTATAACATACCACTCTTTTTGAACTGTGGTCCATAGTTGATCCTTATTTGAAGATAACTTTCTTTTAAGCTCGTTCCATAAATTTTCGATGGTGTTGATGTCAGGAG